GACAGGTCTCTACCAGAGACGTACACGGCGTCTCTACGTCACTCCTCAGTCCTAATATGGTCACTTCCTGTTCACTGGTTGCAAAAAACTAAGATGGCGACGTAGAAATCACAGAACTCGAGGCTTCAAAACGTCCACAAACCAACGTCTCGATGACTACGTCCACTTCTTATACACGCCGTCACCTTCGTGTCAAACAATCCTCCCTTTGATCTCACTTTGTTCTGCAGGAGATGCAGTTGGAGGAGCTCAACGCCGTCCGTCAGACGTTACAGGCCGACCTGGAGACGTCCATCCGCCGCATCGTGGACCTGCAGGCCGCCCTGGAGGAGGTGGAGTCCAGCGACGAGAGCGACTCTGAAAGGTACGTGGCTTCACCGAGAGGGTTTCACCTCCTCTGCCTTAAAATCATCACGTCCGTTTATAACTCAACCTTTTCACCACTCTGTCCTTCACTCCAGCGTTCAAACTGCTATGGCGTCCTTGACTCAAAAGAAAGAGCTGTAAGAACCTCATGAGTGTGTGTGTGTGACGTGAATATGAAAGATAACTTGACCTCCTTCAGGATCATTGTTTTCTGTTAGTTTTGGTCGTCATTTCTATCAGTTATGATAAAAACAAACTCATCGAAGGAACTGTTGCGGTCTGAGAACACAGAGATGGTTTTTAAAACCAGTAAACCTTCTTCTTCTGAACACCGCCGGCCACGTTCCAAACATCTTCATCCGTTATTCAACTGTGAACCATTTAAAGAGGATATTTCGTTAACGCATTGAAATGTCACTAAATGTATTTTGATTCAATTGTCAAGCAGATGTTTAAGCAGTTCTACTCCCACGAGGAGTGCCATATGGTGATGTTATTTAACTGGTAACAGTTGAGAGGATATGTGCTCATATATTCCACTTTCAACTCTTAAACTCCTTTTAGGCAAAACTTTCAAAGTGTCGCATAATTAAACGCAGTTTATCCGCTTCTCTCTCTTTGAACTGGTTTGGTAATAAACCGTGTTGTTTGGTCAGAAGTTGGAGCTAGAGGATAAACTTTTAGCGTTGATTTACTTTCTACAGTCGTGACAACAGAACGTTTGAATCTTTTATACTTCGAGCAGGTTTCTCCTCTCTGTAAACCGACTTCCTCTGAGCTGCTCAAAGTTCTCCGTTTTGTCCTCCCATCCAGTTATTTTACCCATTTGAGGAAGTTTTATGGAATCTTTTTGTTTCCATCCAGCTTTTTGTGTATATATATATATATATATACACATGTATAAATATATATTGATAATTCAAAGAGGTGCTGATATGGATCCGCTAGTGATGTCAATGTGTTCACAGATTTTAGCAAATTACAATTTTATTATTACTGAGGAAACGACGGCCAAAAGCACAAAAATGATCCTTTTAATGTGACTCAAGTAAAAATGGCTTCGTGCATGACGACTAACAGTCCATGAGCCACTGCTGCACCCTTAATGTTACTGTGAGGAGCTGTCGCCCCCTGTGGACTAAAGTGGTAGTGTCTCTGAGCACCAGAGTCCCTTTAGAAAACCTCTCATTTGACTGCAGCAGGGTCTGACAGTCTGCAACCTGACTTGGATGGAAATCAATGGTTTCCTAGCAGGAAGGAAGGAGAATGGCATCCATTGATCATTGATATACATCTTCTGTCTACGATGATGTTGTGAGCTTTTGTTGTTCTAACATTCTGAGTAACTCTGGTTCGGTCTGTGAGGGTTTGGAAGCATAATACTGTGTTTCATATTCTACTACTGGGGATAATATACTGTTCACCGTTTCACAGCTCACAGCTAAATGAAGGCGGACGAGTTAATCAAGAGACTTGCTGAGCGGCGTGAACGAAGTGAAGGGCCGACGTTTCTTCCCTTTGACTCGGCACTGAGCACACGAATCCCTTCTGCTCAGTCCGTCTCCATTAGCTTGATAAAAGTCCCTTTTTTATGGACTTTATTTAGAATATTCTGTGTGTTCTCTTCGGCCCAGATGTCAAGCAAGCTGTCGTCTACCTGTGTCCATCTCAACAGATGTCCCCGATGCAGGCAGCCTGTAATGTGGTCGGATTATAATCTCACTGCAATCAAACCACACGAGGGTTCTCGTGGTTCCTTTGGTCCACATCAGATCACCGTGTTCACAACTGCCTCAGAACCAAACCGCACCAGAGGTCCATTACAACGGACTAAATCTTCCAGATGTTCAGTTTATTGTGAGACAGGTCTATATGTGTGAAACTTTATGACCCGTCCTCTGTGATGATTATAATATGTGAAATAAGAAGTCCTCCTGTGACGAGCAGTAGATTCATCGACTGTGTGTTGAGCTGCAGCCCGTGATGTGTTTGCATGCTCATGATGCAGCTAATGGAGCTAAAGAATGAGGGGGGGGTCGCCATACCTGTGATGAAGTGTGATGTCGCTCTGCAGTGACTCGGTGTCCAGTGCCGGCTCCATCGGGACGGAGGACGTGGGAGAGGGGATCCGTCATTGGTTGGGAGTTCCCAGAGGAGGGTCCCGCGGCGGTGGCAGCAGTACCATCAGCAGCCAGGGGGGGCGCCAGTCTGTCGCTGACACCGTGAGCACCCACAGCTTCCGGTGAGCCCGGAGAACGTTACGGTTATTGGATCAGAAAATGAACCGGCAGCTATTGTGATAACTGATTCACTGTTTACTCTCTCTGCTGATCTGCTGCTTGTCTTTGTCTAATGACAGTAAATTAAACTGTGAATCACATTGTTTTCTTTTCATTTAAATATTTCTTTTTTTGTAAAAGCAGATATTTGAAAACAGATATTTTACATATTTATGATTCTCTATTTTTGCAGTAGTTGTTCATTATTTTATCGTACTGTGTTTATCGTGACCGTTACAAACCAAAACACAGAGACTCATTCTTTGAATGTGGAGATCTACTCGTTAATAAAGCTGATTCTGATTCTGAATAAACCATTAAAATAATCAATAATGAAATGACTGCCATGACGACTTGTCTCGTTTCTTCTTCTACAGTTCTTGTGTGGATGACGAGGGCTCCGAGGCCGGAGGTCCGGGTCCCAGAGGTCCCAGTCGGGCCCCGTCCTCCTCGGCTCTGTCCGAACTGCTGGACGGACTCCGTAAACGGCGAGCCGGCGGCGAAGCGGGCGACGGAGCCGGTAGCGCCGTCTCCCTGCCGGTTTATCAAACCACCGCGGCCTCGACTCTCAGACGGAGAGCCTCGGCCCTCTCCCTCGGCCCCGGCGGTGACCCCCAGGAGCCCCGCCCGGGCCCCGGCATCCTCAAACCACCGTCCCCGCTCCTGTCTCGCGCCGCCAGTGCTCGCTCCGTCGGCGACGCTTATCTGACGTCCGGAGCCAAACTCTCTCGCTTCAACTCGAGCGACTCCCTCTCTTCGGTTCCCTCGCTGCCTCGCCTCTCCTCCATGGCATCCCCCGGGTCCTCCTCCATCCCGGAGGAGGACCCGGACGAGAGCCTGCGCTCCAGGACGACCCCGACGCAGCGCTCGACCCCGACGCAGCGCTCCCCGCAGGCACTGAGGCGGTGCATGCTGGGTAGTCTCGCTGCAGAGGAGGGAGGCGAAGGCTTGCTGGGTTCTGAACCCATGGTGTTCCAAAACCGCCGCCTGATTGAGGACTGCGACGACGCCGCCTCCGACATCCTGCCCGCCATCCGGAGAGCTCAGTCCACCAGCAGCCTGGCCGGCTCGGTGAGAGGAGGCCGGAGGGCGCTGAGCGTCCACTTTGGGGAGCTGCCTCCTTCGTCCCGCGGCAGGAAGAGCTCCGAAACCGAGTCGTCCAGCTCGGGCGGTTCTGGAGGAAGTTCCCAGGGAGGCGGGTCCAGACGAAGGTTTGACGGGCCGCAGGGAGAAAGACTGGAGGCCGAGGGCAGCGAGGGGGGAGACGTGGCTTCGGTCATGAAGAGATACCTGAAGACGGAGACTGACTGAAGCAGAGGAGGTGAACTCTCAGGTGAGTCAAGTTGCTAACTAGAACCATCTGGGGTTCTTCTCTTTGTCCCCATTGGAGAATCAACA